TCCTCCCTCTGTCGCCACTAGGTTTGGCTATCCCTACGGAGCCTTTCTAGTCTGCCAGTTGGCATCTCTCTGAACCAAGTGGGCTTCAGTCAGGAACACACACTGAATCATCTTACACACACAGGAAAGCACACAAATATTAAATGTACAGCTCAATAAACCATCATCAAGGTCAAGAGACAGAAACAATCCTGTTGATAGTTCCCTTCAAAGAGAGGGGCTCTGCTGATCTCTCTCACCATAGATTAGCTTTGCCTGGTTTTGAACTTCACACAAATGGGATTACACAACATGGACTCTTTTGTGTCTGGCTTCTCTCACTCCGTGTTGTGACTGCTATTGAAGGGAGCTGCAGGCCCTTTTCACCACTGTGTAGTATTCCATCATAGAAAAGTACCATAAATATACTGCATTTATCCACTCTACTGTTGACAGACATTTGGGTTACTCTCAGGTTGGGGCTGTTAGAACGATTCTAAACATGTGTTTTGGTGAACACAGGCACTCACTCTCTTGGGTGGAATTCCAGGAGAGGAACTGTCGTATCCGAGGATATATGGATGTTTGCCTTAGTAGATTATGGCCATTGTAACAGAGAATTTGTGAAAAGAATTGGTTGAACGGGTGTTAGGGAACTGAAACAGCAAAAGGGGAAACAGGCAATGCAGAGCTAGTGATTACCTGAGGCAGTTACTACCCCTAGGGCCAAAGGAACAAAGGTGGGTGTTAGAATCCAGATGCTTGAAGGAAAGGCCCTGTCCTGCTCAGAGAGGAGGCACCTGCTGGCCGGGACCCCAGGGGGACACAATGTGGTTGGTTCTGGGAATGCCAATTTTTTTTCAAAGCTGGAAACTGGTGCCAACTGTCACCAAGGTGAAGGCTGTGTCTGTGGACACAGGTCAGGGGGATAGCCAGACAGGACCTTGCCCTTCTACTCCCTCAGCCTCTCAGGCTCCCTCTAGCGCCCCCTGTTGGCAGAACCAGCAGGCAAAGGGTAAGGGGCTTGGCTGCCCCACCACAGCATCAGAGTGCAGGGTTGGAAGGGTGGGGTTGGAAGTCAATAACTGGCATCTTTTTTCAAGCCGACACTGTGATTTGTGACCCGAATGGCTCTTAGGATTTTCCTCATCTTTCTGACGTGTATGTTGCAAACGTATTGATCTACTTAGGATAGCCACATATCAAGTCGGTGACTGAACTTGGAGTATTTCGTATGTCTCATTTCAAGGCAAAAATAAAAACTAAATGTTCCATCAGAGTTGGGTTTAAGAGCATTCCCTGGGCAGCTGCATTGGTGAGGGCTTTGCAGGCGTCTTTTGGAGACCCACTTTAGCACAGGCTTTGAGGTAAATAAAGCATGGCCTTGGGAGGAGGTGGGAGGAGTTGGATTTGAGGTCCTCTTCCAGCCCTAACAAGTGTGTGACAAGTCAAGACACCTCTCGGAGCTTCGATTGGTCAAAATGGGATTCACCATCACTTCCGCTCCCGGGGCAGTTGTGCGGCTTAAGTGACATACTATGACAGTGATGGCTACCTCAGCTTTCTCCCAACATGGCACTGCTTTCCAGTGGCTCTGGTTTTAGGAAGTGAGCGTTTTTTGGCTAAATGGCAAACTATCTTTAAAACCTCACCTAGCCACACTCTTTGTTGATCCTTTGTTGTTCCTCTGTTTTCATGTTATCCAATAATCCTGAGATTGGCCTAAGGGAACCAAGAGCGGTAGAGACCGGGGAAGGGGGCAGTGCTGCTCTCTGCTCCTTTCACACACACTGGGTGTGATACCTCTTTGTTCTCTACAGCACTTGCTGGCACCCTTGGTGTGCTGCTTGGTGCCATGTTGAATCGTGTACATGTCCCCTTAGACGCCGAGTTTCTCAAGGATGGAATCCAAGACTTCAGCTCTAAATGACGCCTCGGCACCTAGCACAATGCTTGCGTACAGTGCACATGTGTGTGCGGTTGACCTTTGCGGAGGTAGAAAATGTATTTGGACAGAAAGATTTTAAGTATTTCAAAAGGAATTTAATAAGAGACGTCCTTAGGCCAAGGCAATGCCACATTTCCCGAAAAGTGGCATCCAATAAACTTTACATTATGTGGACTAGCACACAGATTTTTCTTCGCTTACAAAAATTTTCAAATAGCCATTCAGTTAACGATGCCCGAGACAGAACAGAACTTTAATCCTGTTTGCTTTGTTCTTGGACCCTTCTCCTGGTGATCTCTGTAAGAATGACATTTGCTGCTTCTGTCTAGATTTTTGTTACAGGTTGACTCCAAATATTTGGCCCAACAGAACTATGTGAGGATGGCAAAAGTCTGAAATCACTAGAGCCATCTTAAAACAATTTCTCCTGATAACTAACTGGAAGACTAAGAGCGATCTGAAGTGATCACTCTTATGAAGTTTTCATTTTCTTCCTTTTTTAACCAGTCCAGTATTTCTGTATAAGTTTTAATTTTAAGAAACTTTATATCTAATGAAAGGTGTCCTGGAACAGAAAGACTCCTTTGTTGAATAGCTAAGGATCAATATTCATTCAGGAGTCCTTTATTGAGAAGTATCAGGAACTCATGCGATTCAGTGACTTCTCTTCTTCACAATGTGAAGGTAGCGTTCAATGTCGACAACTCTAATAGCAACTGCTGGGACAGACCCTGCCAATTCACGGCTCGGGCCAAGGCTGTGGCTCTCAGGGCCCCTGTGCAGCTTTCTCGAAACTTCCATCGCTCTGAGGTCTAAAGTCAAGGAGAGTGCAGTTGCCAGAAGCCGCAAATCGCTGAAGGTGGAGCTTTGGGACCCACCCTCAGGGAAACGTAAGTCATTTTACTTATGTGTATGGCCTATTTCAAGTAAATGAAAACAATGTTTGTGAGCTGCACTGTGTGAGTTTGGTGCTTCTAGCCTTCATGGGTGAAGGGATTTTATTTTGTCCTCTTTCGGAAAATATAAAGTCCAGACCTCATCCATAGTCCCAGTTACAGCAACGGCTGGCCTTTTCAACAATTGCTGGAAAGTTCCCTTGAAAGATTCATACGTGGAATGGAATGTAGGCAGAAGATTAGAGGCTAGAGTGGGCTCCTGTCGTGTGCCCTGTTGCTTTGATATACATTTCAATTCTTCACATTCTATATGTCTCTTACACAAACATGTTGAAAATAAATAGTGGAATCTGAAAGGTTTTTCAAAGTAGCCAGAGTCTTTGTGACAGGGAGAACTATTCTAAAGAGTATTGCTGTAGGCAGAAATGTAGGGTCTGCAAACTGTCTTCAGCTGCTAATGGCCTCTCAATGATTCAAGTTTATTCTGGTGAGCACAAGTGAAGGATGACATTTCAAAAAAATCACTGTAGCAGCAAAGGCAGAGTTGTAGACACGACCAAGGAACGGCACAGGTTTGGAATAGAACACCTTGCTCTTGACTGTATTAAATCATTTTCAGTTTTGCATGATTTAAGAAAAATAAGGCCGGGCCTATGGAGAGCAGAAGAAAGTCCTTCCCCGTTCTGCCCTAAGCTGCGGAGCTCTGCCTGGAATGAGGCCCGGCCTCCTGTCCCTGCCCGTGCCTGGGGAGGTAGCCACCAAGGTCATGACTGCGCTCTCCGGGCCAAATTCAGCTGTGGTATGACTATCTGGGAGGAATCAGAGTCGGCTCCGGGAATCCGCAGTAAATCTCAAGTGGGTCGTTAAGAGGTTCTGGGGTTCCAGACAGGGGCCTCTGCAGGGAACGATCTCTCGCAGGCTTTCTCTCCTTCCTGTCCTCCACCCCCAGAGTCAGTCCTCACTGCGCACTGCTGAAGTGTAGAGCCGCCCACACAAAGCCGGGCAAGCAGGGGATACCCCGAGCCTGAGGCTGGTTTCCAGTGAGGAGGGCCCCTGCCTCCATGCTTCCCAGGCCAACGTCTGGGCCCTGCAGCTCCCGCTTTACCCCAGGCTCAACGTGGCCTCTGCCATGTGACTCGTGCCTCCCAGGGAACCTCGAGGCAGTGGATGCTTACCTAATGTGACTTAGGGTGCCTACAGGGAATGGGAGGGTGATTCTTACTCTCTTTAAAATAACGTAAGGGAGAAGAAACTTCCTTCTACCCTCTGAGGTTCTGTGGCTGGCCTAAGAGTTTAACTGACACAAGACAAACAGGAGAAAAGCACACAAGTTTATTTAATATTTTTACATGTATGTGGGAATCTTCAGAAGGAAGATGAAGACCCCAGGAAGCCATTAGATCCAGAAGCTTATACACCTTTTTACACAAAGAGAGATAAATTGGGAATGGTACAGGACAAAGGGGCTTGGGCTGGGGCAGTAAACTGTGGGGCAGTCCTTGGGAAAGATACAGGGGAAACGAATGGAAGGTCAGGGTTATTTCAGTAGGTTTGTTTGTACCGGTCCATTCCAGCGCCCACCCCCAGTCTCCAATGATAAGAACATTCTCTTCCTGGTACAGGGAAGGTACCTTTCTCGGTGGCAATGTTATGACCTGCTTTTAGGTAGAAGGGGGAGGTCGGAGAGCCTTCCCTGCATCTGCTGTTTCTCAATGGCCTTCAGTTCACAACAATCAATATGTCAGAGTGGCATCCTTTGGGGTGGAGTGTTCGGCACCCCTTCAGTGATGGTCCTGTCATTTCATGCTTGACAATAGAATTTGAACTTTTCACATCTCAGTTTGCAGGGAAACTGAGATAAAGCAAGGGCAATACAGTAATCGACGAGGGAAGCCCTTCGATGCACAGTTCTTTCCACTGTGTGATCAATCCAAACTCAGTGTGGCCTCCTGGACTCTGCTCTCATGAAGGGGCCCTGGACTGGCGGAGCTCATGTTAATCTACAATTCAGGTTCTCCTGTGCTCCTGCCACTGAGCAGCGTTTCCTTGGCCATCAGCTCTTGGGGCAGAGTGTATACACAGCCTGCTGACACAACCTCTGTATTACTGTCCCAAGTCCCTGTGGCAGCAACTGCTTATTAGTGCAAGAGAAAATTCCAAAATAAAACACGGTCCAATCATTTACTTTAACAAAAGATTTATTTGAAACAGGTATGTGTAGACATATACCAGTCCACAGGATTGATCAAAGCCACAAATCACTACATTTTCCAAAACCTCTAAAAATACAAGTAAATGCCCTTCATTTGTATTCACTCCAGGAGGGAACCCAGCTCCGCTATAATATGCGGCTGTAATTTAACAACCAGAGGACATTAATAGGACATGAAAATGGTAACACTTCTAGAGGGAGGGAACAAAAACCCCACACTCCATAGACGCGCTCACTACTCTGCTGGGAGCCAATTAAACGTGCCCCCACAGCCCCGCTTCCCTCTGCATAACCAGATTAAAACCTCCCTGTTGCAAACAATATTTAAGCAATTGGAGCACAGATGTGACAGCAGAAAGGAGGGCACATGGCTTTGCTGGCATGAGAAAGACACCGCAAAGACGGTGCATTCAAACAGCAATTCAGTGACCTGCAGGAAAGAGGAGGCACGCAGGCTGCAGACCTAGCTGCTCCTGGCGGAGGCCCCCGGGGCCCCACCCCTGCAGCGGCAGGGCTGCAGCTGGTAGCAGGGCCCTTCAGAGGGAGGCTTCCTAGGGAAGCAGCGGGCACACTTCTGAACTCAGCAATCACCGGCAACGTGGGAGAAGGAAGGCGGAGGAATGCACGTGTCAGCACACACACTGACTTTATTAATGAAAAGCCCGCCAAGTATCCACCTGTGCAGGGATCCTGTGGGGAAGGACAGAAGCCCTAGGACAGGGCAGATTTTCTTTTTCCACTTTTTAATTGGTGTTTACTGATCCACCTGTGGTTGCGTGGTGGTCTTCGGGGGTGACTGAATCCAACGCCATCGGAAGTGGGTTCACATCCTCACCTTCAGGCTGTCCCCCTCCTTCTGGCCCCTTCTCTGCCTTACGGAAGAGCTTGCCTATAAAAGGCTCTTGATAAGCTCTCTTGACCCCTCAGTTTCCTGGGCAGGGTTATTTGGATAGCGCTATTACCTCAACTTTCTTCTTCCTATTTCTGTCATAAATCAAAGCCACCTGACACTTTGTTCCTGACTTTTAAAAGGAACAGGTCTCCTTTCTTTCTTTAGCCAGGTCAGAAGAAATGCCGATGGGCTAATCTTGGGAGCATGTTTTTCTTGGTCTGGAGCCTGAGAGAAAGAGCAGAGTGGATGTCTCTAAGGCAACCAGGGCAAGAGATTGTCATTGACAATGAGCCAGCCCGGTGTAAAAGAATCACTCTTTTGTCTCCCCTCAGCGAGGGGAGCAGAGGTGTTGGTCAGAGTTAACAGCTATGGATTATGCTTGGGGTGGGTTAGCAGGGTGAGCTCGCCCCTCTTTTCTGCCCCCTTTTGCTTCACAGCTTCTGAACACTATGTTGGCTCAGTAGCCTTTTCTTCCCGTTGAAGACTGCATGCTGGTTGGCCACACTCAGACCCAACAAGCTAAGAGAGAACTTTCCACACAGTGCTAGTGGAACCTTGGCATTCAATGAAGCTCTTGTAATGTCAAAGGAAATGTGTACTGTGGGACAATACGGGATGTTGAGAAAAACAATAAGTGAGAAGTAGAGTATTTCAGGTCTATTCCTTTCAGGGATACTTGTTAATATATTCTGGGGGACCTTGGACTCTCACCTCTACGACCCACTGGAAACCCTTCTCATCATCCTCATTGCCTTGAGGATGGGGAAGTGTCCAGGATGAGGCTAAACAATCTCCCCCAAGGCTATACTGAGACCAACAACGGTCTTGAGTCAGTGGAGAACCAGCAACAAAGCCAGCTGAGGTAGGCTTTCCCTTTGAAGGGGAGTGGCTGTCTTTTCACTATCTCCATCATTACTAAATTCGCTAATACAAGCACGATGAAAGTGTTTAACGAATATGATGGGGATGCCATCTTTTACCTTGACCTGATAAACTCATTTCTTTGCCAGGTTATTATTTCGGGCTCTGCTTAACCACAGTTTCCCTGTTCCCATTTTTTACGGATCCCTGGAGATGAAGTCTACATTTCAAATGCCGAGACTGAATTGCTCCTTGAATTACCTTGGGACAACGACCCTTGGTAGTAAGCCAAATGCCAGCCGAAATGTGTGCACTTCCTTCCCATGTTCAAGACGAAAGACTACCTCATTCTCTTGCAGAATTTTGCAAACATTCTATTCAACTTATGGTCTAAGACATAAACCCCTAGGAACAGAAATAGGATTAAAAATTCTCTTCAAAAAATGAGATAAAGGGTCATTGTTATAACAAATGGAGATTACAGACTATAGCTTTCTTTAAAAAAAATTCAGTTGTAAAGCCTGTAATATATACATCTATATGCATTTTCAGACATTAGTTACTCATACCCACTTTTTTTTTTCATTATTCACTGCTTCTTGACAAGTTATCACTGATTTTCACTGCCAGCTCCCTACAGCAAGACTCGAAGCCTTGTCAAGGAAAAGAAAATGTCAACAGAGTTCCCAGCCATGCTCTGCCAAAACTCAGGTTCACGTTTTAGGATATTACTCCACGGATGTTAAAGCAACAGCATCTCCTTTCTCCAAAGGAAGGTTTTGTATGCTCTACTGATCCCCCCCAAATGATCACATATGTGCTGGGAGATGGGAGAACATAACGCTGGTCAAGAAGTCCTGAATATTCCGCAGAGAGGCAGGATGGACACATCAGCCACACCCCAAAATTATTACCAAGCCCATTCTGATCAGCAATGAAGTGCTAATCTGGACAACCAGGCAGAAATGGTTGGTTTATTCTGTTCTCCTATCCCGCCTTTTTAATGGGCACTTTCCCCAGCCCCCTTGCTGGTCCGTGCTGGTGTGTAGTGGAACTCAGAGCTAATGCATGGAAGGGCTGCTCTTTGCCTTCTGCAGACTCAGCCAGAACGGAACACACACTCGTAAGTAAGAGTTGGCAGTCTGTGTACGACAGCAGACCAAGGCCGGCCCTCAGTGGATTCTGCTACTTTAGCCCAATCCAGAGGCCAGCCCTATAGCGCTGAGCAAGTATGACCTGTCAGCCTGTAATGTCACTTACCATGTGGCCGAGTGACAAGTCCCATGTGGCATTTCCACTGAGCTGACAGCCAGAGTACGCAACTTACTCCAGCCCACCCTGCTCCCTGGGGAGGGGCCTGTGTGACACTCTGACCTCAATTTGAAGATAGGACAAATGACACAGCGCCTGAGTTGGCCACGGCTAAATATCATACATCAGTCATAGTGACAGCTTCTCCTTCTCAAAGCCCAATTTAGTCATTTGGCCACCAGATAGCTTGATCGCATACAACAATTAATAGACTAGAAACGTTTCCCATCTAATGTTTTCTTCTGTGTGCACATTTCATTATTGCAAATACTGTTTAGTTCAGTTGTCAAAAGGATCAGAAAATATACTTAAATCTCAGAAAAATGTGAACTGCACTTTAACCTAAAACATAAAATAAAAAATGAAAAGCCCAAAACAAAACATATACACATTGTAATTCACAAATCTAATTCAGAAGGCCTCAAGTTTAAGAAAGAGCTAAGTGTCTGACAAGGAATGAGCTTGAGTTCCCCTTTCCAGAGGCTTAGTTCCAAATGAAACCAAGGAATCAGGATGCCTAACACACATTCGATTCAAATTTTCATTTCTCCTCTATACTTAGGACATCATCTCTCTGGGTGTCCAATAAAGACCTATACCTCAGTCTGTTATGTTAATTCCAGGCACATTTGTGTGTGTTGGGGGGGTGTTGTAATTCCTGCATGACAGTCCTTTAGGGATTCACCTCGCTGGGTGCTCTAGTATTTAAAAATGGTTTTCCACCTCGGGGAGCTAGGAACTGCAATTTTCTAAGCCTCACCTGTTCACTGCATTGTTCTGCTTCCCCTTAAGCCCTCCCTGGATCCTGGTCACGTCATAAGCAAAGGATTAGTTTTCTTCGTCAATGCAAATCATACTTTAAGTTATTACAATGCCCAATTAAATGTGGATGCTCCAAAAATAAAGGATAAGGAAGCAAAGTGCACTATTGTTTTATTTCCCAATTTAGCGCAGCCAACCCCCAGAAGAACGGTGCCATTTTAAGCAGTAACAGCTGCCCAGAAGTATTTATGTTAAGCCATCCAAAAATCTGGTTTGGCAACAAAAGCCGAGAGGAGAGAACGTGCCTCCAGGCTGGCCATTTATTAAGGGCTCCAGGTGCTCATATTCATGCCCGAGGGCACGCAAGTTCCGTCCAAATTTAGAAGGTGGGACTCCGCAGTTTGGGAAGGCAGTGACGAAGCACTTCTTAGAGTCAGGACACTTTCTTTTCAGAGGTGCCTGTGTCTACCACTGACTGGATTAGGACGGAAACCTCACCCATATAGAAAAGGGCATTTCCTTAAATGTTTGGAATTCTTGCTGATAAAAACTGCATGTCAATGTCTTGTTTAGCCTCCCGCATGCATCACCACAACTGTCTGGGCTTCCAGGCTTGATTTCGGTGTCTACTGAGCAGATCTGGCTAACATGTCCTCTCTGTCCTCCTCCCCGGGTCTCTGTGTTCCTTGCCTCTCGCTATCCCCTTTGATGGTGATCTTTCTCCACTAGCCTCAGGGGCCCCCTACTCTTCCACTGGGTTCACTCATCCTGCCTGATTTTAGAGTTACAGAGTGACAGGCGTGTCCCTCCGTGGGGCGACATGCTATACATTCACTTGTTTCCCAGCAGTGAAAGTCCAAAATGGGCTCTGAACTCCTGAGAAAATACATGAGGGCCTCATTGAAGTGAATGCCCAAGGTCCCATACTCATTGGGGAATGAGTATTGAGAACCTGACCAGAGCAGGAGTGCCAAAGCGTTCTACCACACACTGACCTGCAGGCTTCCCTGTCGTCGGAAAGAGGCAGAGAAACATTTAGAAAATACGCGAATAGCTATGCTTCTTTTTTTTAGTTTCAGGAGGTGAAGGGTGGTGGCAGAGGGGATTTCTTGAATCCATATCTGAATCTGTGCTAGGACAAGAAATAGTGCACGTTTGGGTTGGTTGCCCACTAGCTGCCATGTGCTGAGCACAGCGGTCAGCCATGCAGAAGGTCTGAGATGAGAGAAGCCCGGACAGCCCAGAAGGCACCTGGGAAGAGTGCAGGAGAATGCTAGAAGACTGACCCACCTGCCCTGCTGGGAGTGTGGCTAAGAGGTTAAGAGAAGCGTTCTCAGGGTCACCACACTGATAGACATTTTTGTGATTTCACTGTAATCAAGAAGTTTATGCCCACTTCATACAAACAAGATAGGAATCAAAACAAGACATCAACCTGCCGACAATGAAGTTTACATGCTGCCTGGTGGACTTCATCTGTGAGTGAACAAAAGAGGAAGGAAGCGTGCCCCCGCTCCAATTCCACAAGATGAGTTTCTCACGCAACATAAAACTCTCTTAGCTTTCTCCCAGAACAACCAGTACTGATGTTTAAATATTGGTGAAACGTAACGTTTTTAATTTCACACCTCACAGAGCACAGTTGAATGCTTCAGAACAAGGTAAACAGAAGTTAGGCCAAGCACTGTGGATGAACTGAAAGGGAACAAAATGGCTTCCCCCGCGGCATCTACTCCAGGTTTGCGAGGGAATGTGGAACTAACAAACTGGCTGGCTAAGGCCACAGAAATGGGTTTTATGGTTTGGGCTGCTGACACCAGTCTCTTCTTACAGAGATGTGTTAACACTGGGTGCAACAAGCCGCATCTCTTTCCTGGGACCAATCAAGACGACTCACGTCTTATTTCTTCCTCGATTTCCTTTTGGTGGTGTCGTAAGCACGGACAATTTCTTCCTGAGTAACAGCTCCATGCTCTTCTTGAGAGAAGGCATACCCATCTGCAAGAGGAGTACACACAGGGATTGGTGAGGAGGAGAATTGGGGGAGCACGCTGGGTTTAGAAGAAAAGGCCTTTGTGGGAGACGGCAGCTGACCTTTGCCACACTGGGCTTGCCAGCCTCGGGCAGGCAGGGGCCCCGGATGGACAGACCTGTGGCTTGGAAGGGAAACGTGGGCAGAGTGTGGGGTGGGGCGGGACAGGGCCTGACTGGTCCTGGCTGCTGATGCCGAGGGTGGGATGCAAGGCACTGGGAGGGGTGGGGGGAGGGCAGCCTCCCTGCAGCTGAGCTCAGCCTGGGAAGCATAAACAGTGGGTCACTGGTCCATGTCTGCACTTTCCCAGCGCCAATCAAGAGGAAAGGCAACTTGCTCGACTCCAGAAGTGTCCCAGACTGCCCAACGCAGCAGGCTGGCTGGGTAATTTATGAAGCTGTAAACAGGCCGGGGAACACACACACAACGCTAGTAGGCAAAAACTGGCCATGTGCACATGATGCTTGCGGCATTCCTGCTCTTACAGGGGACTGATGTGGACTGGTAATCAGAAATTACAGTGGGTTCATTTTTGTGGAAATAAAGGAAAAGATCACAAGATAAAGTCAAGAGGCCACAGGAACACTGGGTCTTATCATCAGTTCCAACAACAAGAATAATGCTAGCAGCAGGCGCAACAACGATCAGATGCTATGTGTATCGGGCCTGTTCTATGTACTACACACAAACAGCTCATTCATTCCGCCCAGCAGCCCCATGAGGCAGGTGATAGTATTCTTCTCGTTTCACAGATGGGGAAACTGAGGCACAGGGTGAATTTTTTTTCCCCCCATGACTTGCCCAAGGTCACAGACCTAGTGAGTAGTGTAGCTGGGAGCCCAACCCAGGCAGTGCTTCTGCAGGACCAACACTCTCCCTGCATCTCGAGTTCTAGAGAGAGCTTCAGCATTCAAAAGCCCACAGTAGGGCCCTCCTTCCTAACTGGTCCTTCCGCCGAAGGAGCATTTATAAGACTTTCTCTCTCTCTGTTGGCTTACCTTTCTGGGTCAGGGGTATGGAAAAGTCTCACAGCTGGATTAGACATTCTGACCCAAAGACAACAACAGTGAAATGTCTGACAAGGGTGACTCCCATCCATGTGTATACGTGACTTGTCAACAGACATGTTCGTTCACTGTCACGTTCTTTAAAGGGGAAAAAGAAATCAGAAATTGTGCCCATGTACCACCTCCTGGAGTGCTAATTATTTTACTCAGACCCTTGGCTTACAAAGGAAAGTTTCTGAACTATAGAGACATAGAACAGCAACGTATCTGGTGGGAATGGTGAGGAAGGTGCTCCGCTAGAGGATGCTCAGGGTGACTTCGTACTCTGCATGTGCTCATAAACCAGAGTCTCTGCCCCTGGGCTGGCGTCCCGGCTCTCCTGGCCACTGCCTGAGGAAACTCCAGGGCTCAAGAGGGCCACCCTGGGAGGCGAGGCCTTGTCTGCACAGGTGGCCTGGGAGGCAACGAAGGCCCCGGGCTAGGTAGCAGGGGCGGGTGGGAGCTAAGGAAGGACTAGTGAAGGATGAGGACAGAAAGGAGTCTTCCCCAGGGAGCTGTCCATCTATTGGCTCACCTCCATCTCTAACAAAACCAAATCCAGCGACCAAAAAGCCCGCTGTGTGGCAGCCAGCAGCCGGGGCACAGCAGCCCCCGGGCCGGCGCGGGCCCCACCTGGCTGCCTCCGGGAGCGGGCAGTGTCCCTGGGCTGCCCTGCAGGAACAGGCCTGGGGAGGGAGGCCCTGGGGGTGCCGGGTGCAGGTCACTTGAACTTCCTCGTCATGGCTTTCCACACAAGGAGCCTTCAGAGGCCTCACGGGACCTGAGGAGGAAATGCCTCTTCTCTCCTCTATGCCTCTGAGAGCTTTTAGACTTTCCCCGGATGAGCTGCTTGATCAGTGAGGCCCCCGGGACGAGGAGCCGTCCTCTGTCCGGCTTCGGAGGGGCGGCTCCCTCCCTGGCTTGTGCTGTGGTGGCCCCTCTAGGACAAGGTGCTCTTTGTGCAGCTTACTGACTGCCGTCCGAGACCAGCCGCCTTTCCCTGGGATGTTTCCAAGCAGAATCTAGCAAACAACACGGTCTCCTCCAGTCACAAGGCTGTGTTCTGTGGTCGACGTGGATAATCTCTATTCTCCGGTCTTTAAAGGTAACATTTCTAGTAAACATCTGATGTTTTCCTGTGGGAGCCACACAGTGGTCGTCTGTGGCCTGCTGTGCCACCCCAGGTGGACGCTCCTCAGCCCGGCAGAGTGTGGCTCTGATCCCAAGCAGCGGGGGCCCTTCTAAGTGCTCTCCATGAGCCGTTCTGGTGGCAGGCTGATGACTAGGGAGCTCTCCACCCTGAAGGTAGCTTTCTTCACCTGCTCTGCTTTCATCTTGGATCCGGGGCTCAGGGCCTGAGGCAAGAAGGATGCTTCTAATCCTTGCCTGGCAGTAACTTGGCCACAGGACCATGAGTTCTTTAAGTTCTCTGGGTCTTCTTCGTCTACTGTTCCGTGAAATAAAGGGCCTGGACCAGGTGAGGTCCAAGTTCTGGCAGAGCTCCCACCCTCCCAATGGGTGCCAGGCTTTTCTGTGGCTAACTATACCCAGGCCACAGAACCTTCTCCTTCATTCAGGGCCAATTCACACTCAACACCAATGGAGGAAGCCTCCACCTCCATACCAGAGAAGAAAGGAACCTGTCGCAACAACCCATCCAAATAGAACAGGTGCTACTTGTCTTTTTTGGTGGGCTTTGTGGAGGGGGTTCTTGGGGGAGAGGAAGAAATGAAGGGGACTCATTGAGACAAAAAAAGCAAACATTGTTTGGGAGCGTCCTCTTAGGAAAGGTAGCTTAGCATCTGGAATTGTCTACTCCTTGGTCAAGTGGGAGGAACAAAAGCCTTGTCTTCCTTATTCTGTTTTTCATTCACGTCCTGCCTATGCCTACTGAGACAGAGCCAGAACTGAGAGCTGTAAGGCATCCGTGGCTTGTATTTGACTCACTGGCACGAGGGCCTTCTGCTGGGATAACTCAGCCACTCCAGACTGGGAAGGGCTTCCGGGTATCCACTTGAGAGGACCTTCCCAAGCAAATCTCTTCTCTCAGGGTAAGTTGAGACCCAGAGGTCACGACCAAAGGGCTTATCCAGCAGTTCCCATCATGTTTCCAGAATGTTATGCACTAAGATTTTCCTCACTAGACTTTCTTAGTGTCCGCAGAGACTTGAACTCTGCAACTCAAGAAGGAAAGGAGGATGGCTTGGTAGGGTTATCCTGGGGCAGGGGTGTCTCCCTGGTTCAGATATAATATTTTCCTCTCAGAAACCAGGCCTGGTGGGAGATAGGGCTATAATGGGAAAAGTTTTAGTGGGGCAAAAGAGGCTATAACCACCCAACTAGCCTCTGCCTGTCCAGCTTACATCCCTCAGCCTGACAAAGATGCGCCATCAGGGCACCAGCTTCTGCCTGATGAACATTTAGCCGCCATTTGCATCCAAATGCGGAGCTCAGAGGAAGGCTCCAGCTCTTAGCCTTTCCCACTTTCATTCATCTTTCAGGAAGTCCTGACAGCCACAAAGTAATGATGGGGGCCTAGGGAAAGCCATCCATGGACCCAACTCCTGAACTTCCCTGGGTTGGCTTCCGGGGAAGCATCTGCTTCCTAAATGCTCAGCTGCAGCCAGAAACTGGGGGCAGAATAGGGTAGGTGAAAAGAGATGGAAGGGGAGGGAAGTGTCGAAGCTGTTTTGTATTCTCCTGATAGAACATTTGGTGAAGTCCATAAAGTCATGTCATTTTTTTTTTTGCATTATTTTGGAATAAAACTCCCCTTAAATAGCTCTGATAACATGTTCATGAGAGTAGAAGTTTCCTGTCTGGAAAAAGATTCCTAAAAGCAACAGAAGTGGGGACAACCATGAGGACGACAAGGAATTGAGACTGTAGGAAATGCTGATCTCAGTTATATATACTGTGTGTTGGTGTCCTGGTGTCCTGGTGTCCTGCAAGGGATTAAAAATGCTGCCAAGATGAGAGTTGTTCTTCTAGTTTTCTGGGAAGAGAGGCCCAGGACAGTGGAAGGGCAGACCCAGGAGGGATAGCTAGGCTGGAGGTTGAGAGGAGAATGCAGAATTTCTCACAGGCCAGGACCACTTCTGGTCTCTCCATGGCTTTCTCTAGTTACTGATAGAACGTTTGGTTATGGACCGGTTTCTTACTATTAGTTGCTGGGTGTTTTTAAAATGTGGTGTGATTTTAGAGGCTTTTTTATTTCTTGTATTTGTTCATTCTAATTTTCTTTTGTTCTTCAAAATCCCAAGTCAAGAAAATTTTTTTAGTAGTTGTTTTAAGACATTGTATGACTCTCCTGTAAAAGTTCTTACTCAGTCTTTGATCTCAATATATGTATCTTATATATTCTTCCTAGGGTTATTGTGAAATATTTATTAGAGAAGCAGCAGGGCTCCATGGCATGAACCCCACTGTTTACAGAATCAGTACTCATTTTCTCCGTGTCTGCTAGAAAGAAGGTGCTTTATATACATCGTCCTAAAGCCTCACAAAGACTGTGTAAGATGTGTATTATTTTTTTTCCCTTTTAGATGTATATTATTAGATTTCTTTTTTCCCTTCAGTGGAGGAAACAGAAGTTTAGAGAAATATGTACATCGCCCAAAGTTACTCAACTAGTGGCAGAAAAAAACTGGTAATACCTCACATTTTTTGGACTCCATATTGTCAGGTACTATTCCAGGCTCTTCGTATAAATGATCAAATTTAATTCTCCCCCAAAACCCAGTTCTTACATCATCTCCATTTTACAGGTAAAGAAACGGAGAGGTTAACTTACCTAAGTGCACAAAAAAGTGACAGAGCTGGAACAGGACCCCCAGGCAGTCCAGCTCCAGAAGCGGGGCCCCACAGACCTCACTCCCTGGACTGCACCATCAAGCCTCCTGACTGGACCTCTCTCCTGGCTCAGAGAGACCATGGCTGACCCAGATCGTTGGGCCTTGCTGGGCCAGTTACTATACTGGCCTGAGCCCCTGCCACGTGCTCCTGGGGCTGACACCACCTACTCCCTGGGACAGGACATGAAGCATGTGAGGCGCCACATGGACTTGGTCTCTGCCATGTTGGTATCCCATGTGGGAAAGTGAGGAGAGGGAGTCCATCCTTTCCTTCTCTCTGTAGAAAATCTGTGAAGATCTGTTGATGGGTGGAGCTCAACCGAGCCTGATACAGACACCTCAATACCTGTATTATGGATACAAGGATTCTTCACTTCTAAACCATTCTTGTTTCCTTCTGAACACCTCAGGGAGAGAAAGGGAAGCAGGAAGCAGTGTTGTTGAAGAGATGCGAAGTGCACGTGCAAGAGAGGGGGTTCTGGAAAAAGAGGTGGGATTTGGAGGGGCAGAAGCAGGTGACAGACGACAACATGCCAACAGGCCTTACCCTGGGGAAGGCAGAGATAACCCCCTCCTGAAGGAAACCAGTGCTAACAATGCCCCTCAGTGGGAGTCAAGTGGCTTAACTGCTGAAATAGCCCCACAACCCCCATGAGCTCTGCTACCCATCTCTCTTTCATGGCCTCCTGCCCCCTCCCCTGGGGTCTGGCACATCCCCACTGACCCTGGCTTAGGTTTGGTCCCTTCAACAGAAACCAGGCCTGGCCTCTGGTGTTGAGTGGGGCAACAGTGCTAGATGCGGGGCAGCCTTCCTGGGAAAAGTACAGACTTTTTCCCCAGTGAGGGTCGTTGTTTTAATTAATAAGCTAATATTAATGAAAACAGTGTATATTGCTATCTTTGTGGGCAATAAGCCAAAAGTAAGATCATTTCAGCCTTAGAACAAAATCCTGTTGGGAGGGTGACAGAAGGATCTCGACCACATCAGGATTTTAAGTTTTAGGATTTTGTCATTCAGGCATTTGATTGGGTCCCAGGGAACTACCTGCACTCAAGCTACGCTCGCCTCGGGCCAAATACACAAACTCCACTTCCAAATGTGGAGCTCCGGCTTGGCAGTGGTCTCCAGACATATCAGCACCAGTATGCTTTAACGAAGCCACCGCCTTCCCCGCGCGGCTGGGGTTGGGCTGACCGGAATGTGGCCGGGGCTACTTACGGGGCACACACTGCTGGATGGAGCCTCCCCGGAAGAGAGTGGGGGGCGTCTTCCTGCTGAGCCTCTTCAGTAGGCGGTCACGTTCATTCATCCTGCAGGCAGATCAAACGCAGTCAGTCCTGGTTCATAGGAACACCTCTCAAAGGGCCTCACCCAGTGACTTGAGGTTGCAAAAATAAAACAGAGAGGGGAAAAAGGCTTCCTCACGTCAGGAAAAACGTCCAGGTTGGCAAGCAGCTCTATTATTTACAGTAGATGCTATCCCGACACCTTGAGTGCACTGCTCCCTCTTCTAAAAGGCGCTCTGTTTCCAGTCTGTCATGTACGTAACGCCTCTCAACGCTGCCTTCCTCTTAACCGAAGCTCACTACAAGTGCCCTTTCATACCAGGCTCACCCTTGGCTTTCCAGATCGCTTCTGCAGGCAGTGGTCTGTTTCTAGGGAAATGTCTTAAAGCCTCCGTTCCACCTGCAGCCGCCTCTCCCCAAGCCAATAAACTCCACCAAGGGCAAAAGCCTCCCCAGGGGCCTTGGGTCCCCAGCAAGAGACTGATTTCTTTCTGCACAACCTGATTGTTATTTTGAAACAGTGAAAATCAAGGTGAGTTTTCTTGGAAAACACAAGGATTAGGAGCTCTTCTTGCCTTCCCTGAAATGATTCCCTCCAAGTTTGGCACCTCTGTAAGGAAATATGGAGCACAGCTGTTGTTTATTCCTATAAAGCAAAAGGGGGATGCTTTAAAATTGCCCAGGTAGGCAAGAGGGCTTTGATTTCTTATCATTACAATGTCACTTTGCTTGCCCCAGGAGATTCCTGGTGTGTGGGAGTTTGCCAATGCCCTCCGATACGGGCTGAATTCTGTTCCCCCCAAATGCATATGGTGAAGTCCTAACCCCCCAGTTACCTCGGAATGGGACTGTACTTGGAGACGGGGTCTTTAAAGAGGTCATTAGGGTGGCCCTTAATCCAAGATGACTGGTGTCCTCTTGAGGAGAGGAGATTAGGACACAGACACCCACAGAAGAAAGTCCGTATGAAGACCAAGAAGACAGCCATCTACCAGGCTCAGAAGGAACCAACACTGCCAGCACCTTGATCTTGGGCTGCCAGCCTCCAGAAGTGTGAGAAAACAAACCCTGCTAAGTCACTCAGTCTGTGGTACTTTGCGATGGCAGCAGCAGCAGACACATCCAGCCCGGATCTGCCGTTTGTGGGAACGTGAGGCGCAGAAGCTGGGCTGCCTGCCATCCCGAGCACCTCCCCTGCCATGTCGTGGGCCTGGAGCCTGAGGAGGATGGTCTCCTGACCGGAGTCCACTTCACAGCAACCTCAAGGGCCTCGAAAGAAGAATGGGGCCGCAGGTATTCTCAATAGTTCTCTGAGGTGAAGTTCATTTTGCTCTTGAGTTTCCAGAAGAGAGTATTTTCTGATTATGTCAGTCGAAAGGACAATGTTTAATTCATCACCAATTAAAGGCGAGCCTCAGCTAGCTAAGCTTGGCAAAATGTCTGATGGCTGATCAGGAAAAACACTTTTTCTATCCCTTCACACTGGCTTTCCCTTCTCTCTCATGTCTTTTTCTTCCCGGGGCCAAATTAATCTCACTGGGCCCTGCTGAGTGACTGCCCGGGCCAGCAGCCGACAGGAGCAGACGACCGAGGAGGAGCCCGTGAGTGTGCCGGGTGCCGTCCGGCTGGGAGCTCACTGCCCCCCTACAGTCTGCGGTTCCCTGTGCTGGCTGCTTCCAGGACAGCGGAGGGTAATGAAGGGCTGTCCTCCCCGTGTGAGCCAGCTCCGGCCAGGATGCCTCCATGGAAGGCGCTGCCAGCCTCTGCTCAGGGCGTGTGTGAAGACGGGGCACCTGAGGGCTGGGCCACAGCTCCCTAGGGCAGGCTTTCCAGCCAGGTTGTGGTAAGGAAAAGGCACTCCCTCCCCAGGAACCCAGTGGACGGACTCAGCCCAGGCTCCACCAGCACACCCGACCTCTGCCCTGGCCACCCCCGGGTCTCCATGCTCAGGTCCAGAAGCTCTGCCGGCGGTGGGGCGAGTGAGAACTTCACAGGACCACACAAGCGGGAAATCCCGCATCTTGGTCTCTCACAGGGCGGGTGAGGAGACTCGGCTGTACCAAACACAAAGGTCGCAGGATGCGTTGCTGGCGCTGTTCCTGCCCCTGCCTTTGCGCCAGGCAGATGTCCCTAATTCCCTCGTGAAATGGTGTATGCTTCTCTCTTTTTTATAAGGAAAACACTCCAAACGCATAGAAACTAGTACGGCGAATGTCCACCAACCTGCTCAGCTTTAGCAAATGGTAGCTCCGCCGCTTGACCCCTTGTTTCAGAGGGACCCACTCCGTCCTGCAGCCCTTCCTTCCAGGTGGCAAGGAGACACGTCCACCCAGAGCCCACGCCTGTCCCCCAGCCCAGGTATTTGGGACGCCAGAAGTCCCTGTTGAGTGACACCTCTCCAAGCTGGCATCCAAGGCCAACCTGAGCTCCTCACTCTCTTCCTAAGAGCAGACCCTATAGCCAGTGTGCACTCTCCTAGGCCTGTGGGTGGCCAATGGGTGGTTTTTTGCAAGGGATATGTATGCGGGGATGGGGATGTCCAAAGACATGTGTGTGAACTCCCTCACAGTGTAGGACAGAGAGATGGGGTCTGCTAACTCTTCTCCATGCCACCACTTTCTGGCTCCAACCCCCAAAGAATCTTTGTGAAGGTATATTAATCAAGGTATATGGCTATTTGTTAGCTTGACTGATAACTTTCACATACCCAGACATGGTACTTG